GCATGATAGAATTCTGCAAAACCAATGATTTGTTCATTTCAAATACATTCTTTAGACAGCATAAGGGATGATTATACACATGGACCTCACCAGATGGAATATATAGAATTCAAATTGACTACATCTACAGAAAGAGAGTATGGAAAAGCTCCATATCATCAGTGAAAACAAGGCTAGGGGCAGACTGTGGAACAGACCATCAGTTACTCATATGCAAATTCAAAATGAAGCTGAAGAAAATGAAAACAAGTCTACGAGAGCCAAAATATGACCTTGAATATATCCTACCTGGATTTAGAAATTATTTGAAGAACAGATTTGATACATTAAACACTAAAGACCAAAGACCAGAAGAGTTGTGGAATGACTTTAAGAACATCATACATGAAGAAAGCAAAAAACTGAGAAGACAAGAACGAAGGAAAAGGTCAAAATGGATGTCAGAAGAGACACTGAAACTTGCTCTCCAGCGTAGAGAAGCTAAAGCAAATGGAAGAAAAGAGGAGGTCCAAGAGCTGAACAGAAAATTTAAAAGATCAGCTTGAGAAGATAAAAACAAATATTACAACAAAATATGCAAAGATCTGGAATCACAAAACCAAAAAAGCAAGAACATGCTCAGCATTTCTCAAGCTGGGTTAACTAAAGAAAAAATTCAAGCCTAGACTTTCATTATTGAAAGATTCTCCGTGGAAACTATTGAATGATGCAGAAAGCATCAAGAGAAGATGGAAGGAATACACAGTGTCACTATACCAAAAGGAAATGGTTAATGTTCAACCATTTCAAGAGGTAACATATGATCAAGAGCCAATGATACTGAAGGAATTGGCAAAGAGCAAGGCACCAGGAATTGATGCAATCAAAATTGAAATCTTTCAAGAAAGTGAGATGGCACAGGAGGCACTCACTCATCTCTGCCAAGAAATTTGGAAGACAACTATCTGGCCCACTGATTGGAAGAGATCCATATTTGTGCCCATTCCAAAGACAGGTGACCCAACAGAATGTGGAAATCATTGGACAATCCTTTGATATCCCATGCAAGTAAAGTTTTGCTAAAGGTAATACAGAAAAGGCTACGAGCATACATTGACAGAGAACTTCCAGAGGTTCAAGCTGGATTCAGAAGAGGCCGTGGATTGAGAGATATCATTGCTGATGTCCAACGGATCTTGGATGTAAGCAGAGAATATCAGAAAGATGTTTACCTGTGCTTTATTGAGTATGCAAAGGCTTTCGATTGTGTGGATTATGACAAGGTATGGACAACATTGTGAAGTATGAGTATTCCTAAACACTTAATTGTGCTCATGTGGAATCTGTACCTGGACCAAGAAGCAGTTGTTCGAACAGAACATGGAAACACTGATTTTTTAAAAAATTAATAAAGGAGTGCGACAAGCTGAGGCTTATAGCATTGTGGAATGTGTTTTAGGCACTGAACAGCAGCTTTGTAACATCTCCTTAGGAGGGCAGAGGCCAGGCCAAGGGTCTGAGGGCAAGAGAGAGGCCTACCTACAGGCATGGCTGAGAGAAGTCTGTCCTGACTGGAAGAACCCTAAATTGTAACCTGGCAAATTCCCTAGTAAAACTTGTAAGTGTGAGTGTGCTGTCTGAGTTCTATGTGGCCATTGCAATGAATTTTCAAACCCAGCTATCTAGAAAGTGCCATAGGAAGAGCAGTTGGTGTCAGATTTTGTAGAGAAGTTAGAAGGCTTGAGGCATGTCTGACCTCAGCCTCATAGGACTCTGCCTTGGGCTGATGCTACTGCTACTGATAGTGATTCTCCCT